TGAGTTTTCAATCTGAAATATTACCTCTGCCCAGCTGTGAAACTACAGGTACTACTTTCCTCTGCCAGTCAGGTTCCTGGGAGGTCCCCTTCACGTTGACAATAAAATTATTGCTCTGTTCAACCACTGAGTTGTTTTTTTAAAATACATACATACAAATTAAAGAAGTAAATAGATAGATGATAGATAGATAGATAGATAGACAGACAGACAGACAGACAGACAGATAGATGATAGATAGATAGATAGATAGATAGATAGATAGATAGATAGATTTTGTATACGTGTGTGTGGTGTGTATGACATGCCACAGTTTGTACAGAGACAAGAAGACATCTTTTAGGAATAGGGTCTCTACTTCTACCATGTGGATTCTGGGATCAGAACTCAAGTCACCAGGCTTGGAGCCAGGCACCCTTGCCCCATGAGCCATCTCCCCAGTCCCGGAGCGTTTCTTACGGTAGCAAAACCTAGCCTACTCTGTCTAACGCAAAACAAACGTTTGGGAGTGTGACGGCTAATCTTGTTTGTTAATTTCATGAGATTTATAATCATCATGGGAACAAGCAGATGTCCCTCCCATCCATCTCTGGCCAAGTCTGTAAGGGACTATCTAGATAGGGTTAGCTGAGGTGGGAAGACTGACTCTAAATATAAACACTATAATCCCATGAGCAGAAGCCATGGGCTGAATCAAAGGGAGAAAGTGAGCTGAGCACAGGCATTTATTACTGCTCTTTGCTTTCTGGCTCTGGCTGCAGTGTGAACAGCGCCTGCTCCTGTAATAGCTTCCATCTGAGCTCCGTATCTTTGTTTCTACGACCAAAGTGACTTAGTGAAGAGAGGCTTTGTCTGAGCTCCACAGTTTCAGGTAACAGTTCATCGCTGATGGGAAGCTACAGCAGCAGGGAACAGAGGCAGCAGGTCGTAATCCACCCGCAAACCTGAACACACACGCGTGTCTGTGTCAATTGTCCTCCCCACTTTATACTGTCCTGGAACTGCTGCTCAAGGAATGGTTCTGCCCACAATTCATAGGGGTCTTCTTGTAACTGATTAGCTTAATCAAGACAATTCCTCATAGACATTCTCAGAAGCTAGACTTAGTCTATATAATCCCTCGTAGGTGTGCCCAGAGGCCTGAAATTGAAGCATTATACTGATGATGACCTCAATTCTGCCTCGGTGATACACCCTGAAACTGTGAGCTCGAATAAATGCTTCTTCCTTCCTTAAGTTGCTTCTGCCATAGCAATAAGACAAGTCTGTGATACAGAGAAGAATCTGTCACTGATCGGAATCCTAATACGATCTTTTAATAAGAGTATGGGTAGAGGAAACATGGGAAGTCTTAGTGGCTGTAGAAGCCTGTCCTTGGAGAACGTCTTCCTTCTGCGTGACTTAGTGGCAAAGATTGGAAGCTGCAGAACATCGCAACTAGATACCAGTTAGAGTGTAGAGCCCTCTACGGACCTTAAAACTTGAAATTGATCCTTTGTTAATTCCTCTGCTTAGTTAGAAGCAGACATGGGAACTATCCAAATGTTTTTTAAGTTGTTAAAGCCTGAAACTAATAGAATTTCTGTTTTTAAAAAGTTATTAGTGCGTATTCATTGTACAAAATAGCTAATTTCATCATAACATTTATAAACTCATATATTGTACTTTGATCATATTCCCAGACTCTCATAATTCTCCCTTGAACCCCTAAAATTCTCTTTTGAAAGTAGGGCACCATAAAGGACTGCTTTTAATATATATGAATGGGCCTTTATGAGCCCTACATAATCATGTCTAATATGGATTTTCCACGGGTAGAGCCTTCTGACTCAGTCCCGGGAGTAGTTAGTTCTCGTGAGTCTAAGGCATGTATGACTCATTCGTTGTTGTTAATACAGAACAGATTAAGAAACAAAACCACGAACCATCAATCCAGCCTATGGTAGCAGGTGATCAGAAAAAGAATCAATAATTTTAGAAATCCTAAACCTAGTTTCTTTGGGGGCACAGCTATGGTGTTTGAGTTGACATGACTTTCCTAGCATTCATTCATCATTCATTGCTGTAACTGGCTTGTTTTTTGTTTTTGTTTGTGGGTTTTTTTTTGGTAGCCATATCTCCAAGGAGCCAACATGCTTTGAAGAAGATGGGATGTATTTCTTTCTTTTCCATTTGTTTACACATGTGCCTCAGCACCTATAAAGGGGTAGAGGACTTCACCAGTGATTCTGTTGGTATCTCCTTCCCCCATGTGGGCTCCAGAGATCAAACTGAGGCCATCAGTCTTGGTAGCAAGTGTCTTTACCCACTGAGTCATCTTGGAAGCCTGACAAATGTGCTTTCAATGTTCGCCTAAAACAGTATTTCTTAGATTTCGATTCCTTATACCTGACATGATTCAGGACACACATTAATACAGTGACTAGAAACCCAGTTACTGAAAATTCAGATGGAGCATAAAAACCACAGAATAGTTGCCTATTTCAGTGCTGGTTGGGCTGGCTAGTGTTATGTCAACTTGACACAAGCTACAATTATTTGAAAGGAGGGAATCTTGATTGATAAAATGCCTCTATAAGATCCAGCTGTAGGGCACTTCTTAGTTAGGGATTGATGGGGGAGGGACTAGACCATTGTGGGTGGGGCCATCCCTGGGCTCGTAGTCCTGAGATCTGTCTGAAAGTAGGTTTAGCAAGCCAGGAAGCAGCCCACCTCTACACCCTTTGTATCAGCTCCTGCTTCCAGGTTCCTGTCCTGTTTGAGTTCCTTCTCTCACTGCTTTTGATGATCGTCTTAGTTGGGGGTTTTTATTGCTTTGAAGAGACACCATGACCACGGGAACTCGTATAAAGGAAAACATTTAGCTGGGGTGGCTTCCTTGCATTTCAGATGTTCTGTTCATTATCATCCTGGTGCAGCTTGGCAGCTTGCAGGCAGACATGGTACTGACTGGAACAGTAGCCAAGTGTCCTACATCTTGACTTGCAGACAAGAGGGAGTGGTTTGTTTTACTGGGCATGGTTTAAACATATAAGAGATCTCAAAGTCCGCCTTCACAGTGGCACACTCCCTCCAATGAGGCCATACCACTTCCTTTGGGAGCCATTTTCTTTCAAATCACAATGACTGACTATTATTTGGGATTGGGAGTGAAATAAACCCTTTCCTCTCCAAGTTGCTTTTGGTCACGGAATTTTATCACAGCAATGGCAGCCCTAACGAGGACATTGGCCATGAGGCTACATGCCCTAAAATTACAGATGGCATTGAATTGTTTGCAGTTCCTAGGCACAGCATACTGGGCAGAATAGCAAATCATAAATAATCTCTTTAGAAGTTAAGAAATAGTCATCTGATGAAGAAAGAATTGGAAGGAAGGAAGGAAGGAAGGAAGGAAGGAAGGAAGGAAGGAAGGAAGGAAGAGAAAGAAGCAGAAGAGAAGAAGTAAGGAAAGATGAAAAGAAAAAAGGAGGAAGGAAGGAAAGGTAATAGAGCTCAAGGGAAAAAAAGGTTTGACTAAGAAATGTGGCAAACGCTACATGTTGCTTAATATTTGTCCAGCAGTTCCCATGTTGATGGATGAGGAAAATAGAATTGCCAAAAGAGGCGACATCCCGGTGCCTGGAGTGATAAGATCACAGGTCAAACCCCAGCGTCTGACTCCTGTGTGGGCAGCACAGTCCAGTGCTACTGTTGTCTTTTGGGTCCTCTGAGGCTCTGCAGTGGTACTCTCAACTGATACGAGGCATCCCTTGGGCGTGTTCTGTTTGCAGCATCTGCTACAGCTCAGCAGCAATATTTCGGATTCATTTGGACATTCCTGGCCTAGCTAATAGACAGACATTGTTTATGAACGAATTATTCTAAGGCCTTAGGTCCCCAGGTGGGGCTCATCTGCCAGTGACCTGCCCAGACTCCACACGCTCACCTGCTGAAGTTGACGGGATCCTAAATTACTTTTCTAGAAAACGGATGCTCCGTTTCTTCCTCAGTTTTCTCCCTAGAAAAAGACCTCACTGTAGAACAAAAAGCCACCTACTTGGAAGAGGATTTCTTTTCGTTCAAGAAATATAGCAATGTTAATAAGCCTAACCCGGAGTAAAAGTGAGCAGACGGGTAGACATAACACCCTGAAAACTCTGGTCCTTGAGCTACCGATGCCTGTTGCTGCCGTGAAGAAGGCACCGAGGGAGGCGAGGCTGCATTTGGCTCCTGACTTACCACCGTGGCGGTTTGAGGGTACGATGGGAAACATCCCAAATCCTGAGAAGATGCTCTTTCCAGATCCTCATTTCCCCCTTTCTCTACAGTTCCTATGTTTTCCCCCTTCCCACCCTGCCCCCTCCAGCACCAGATCAGATGGCTCTCACCCCAGAGGGCCACACCGCAGAGTGGGAAACAGGGCAAGCCACAGCTTTTGTGTCTTTGTTTCATAAAAGCCTACCCCTTGGGGGAAAGAGAGATTCTCTATTCACACCCTGAAGAAACAGGATGAAGAAGGCTCCCCCAAACTTCCCAAGTACTCTGGGTTTAGAGACGAGGGGAAGAGGCGGAGGCCTGGAGCCAGTCCCAGGAGCAGAGGGGGGCAGCGCCCCACATTAAGCAACCCACTAGGAAGGCTGCCAGCCTGGAGAGAGATGGCCACATTGTGTGCATTGACAGAAATATAAGCAGCTTCACAAAGATCCCGGGGCTCCCAGCATGACATGGGAACAGCAGAAGACCATTAAAACTAAGGACAGAAATGACAAGCTCTCAGCCTATCCCATCTTCGGAAAAGACAGAGAAGCCAGTGTCTCTGGGCCCCCAGCACTCTGCTCTGTGGAAGATGGCCAGAACTGGGGCAGAGCCCCAGGGAAGAAGTCAGACTATCCCAAGACAAACTAAAATTCCATTGTTTTATATGTTGACTTGTTTTTCCAGGGACCCAGTCTAGTAGGCAAATTATAGTAAGTGCTAGAGTTCAGCCGAAGAAAGCCAGAGGGCGAATCGCCACTTACAGACCCAAGTCCAGCGTGTAGAATTCCAGGCAGCTGCAGGAGGTGCAGGTGATCGGATTGGAGGAGTTTAGGGTCTTCCAGACGCAGAACAGAGACCGTGGATCTGAGAACAAACAAAACACAAAGAGGTCTCATGAGGTCCTGTACTACAGACAGGACTATCTGCTGTAGATCTCCATGAATCTTATGCAAAACGGGTATTTGTGTGGTGGTACCCCCAACAGTACGAACATAAGGGTGTGTGTGGAACAGCACGAGCAAGGACTCAGTGCTGAGCATGCGTGTACTAACTCAGAGTAAACGGCAATGAGGGGATAATGAATGACTAGAAATGAGCAGGTCACACTTAGGGGGTCCTGAGATCCTGACTCAGAAGTCTGAGCTGGCTACCATAAGTAACAGGGCACCCACAGAGAGTCTCACAATAGGCCGCGAAATGACGTTTCCCGCTCATAGTCTAAGGTTACCCGTAGGTGGCATGTTGTGTTATGACTGGCAGGGAGCCTGGGAGTAAGAAGAATAAACGGGAGGCCATTTCAGTGACGTAGGGAATGATGGGATGACGGTTTAGCTGTGAATGGAAAAGAAAAGTACAAATAGTGGGCCCGAACGCTCTGAAGAGTGGAACTGGCGTGGCCAGTTGGAGCTACCAGTTCCTCATTCTGTTTGGGGAATCTCTCAATCAGCCGATCTCTTCCAAAAGGGGATAGTTTGCTCATTCCAACGCCTGCCGCTTGTCACACATCAGGCGATGTAGTTCAGGTTGCTGTTTTAAACTATTGTTCACCTTAGCCTTGGCTGGGTTGGGAAAGACTCAGAGAAGTAAAAACAAATCTTTCACCGTTACAATGTTTTCTTATAATATTCTTCACGACTGCTGGCTCATGTCTTCTGACACTTGACGTGTGGTGACATGAAGCATGTGGGGGCACAATGGGGACAAAGGCTTCTAACTGTAGGAACAAAGTGTAAGAGCCTGAATCTACTAGTCCTGGGGAAGAAAGAAAGAACTGACAACAGAGCCAGCAAGGTTTGTGCAGAAACTACCCCTGGAATATAAAATATATTTAGGACCTGATCCTGCAAGCTGTCCTCTGACCTCCACTGTGGCAGATGCACACACATGCCAACACACATACACACGCGCACACGCGCAACACACACACACGCGCACACGACTGTAAAACGTCTGCAGTATATTTATTATAAAAATGCTAACCACCACAATAATAATAAAAGCAAAACATTCAAGGAGTTACTTCAGTAGCATGCAAAGGTTTTCAGTTGAAAGTTTGAGGTTCAAATCTTGACTTGAATGCTTACTAATGATGTAGTCTTTGGCAAGATACTAAACAGATTAGTCCCGAGGACTCCGGTGAAAATTAGGCGCAGGAAAACCTCTTGGCAGACGAAGTACCTGAAAGGCCGGAGGACTGGTTTCTGACCTCCACTGACCGCCTCGACTGACCACCCGTGTTCAGTAGCAATCAACACCGCTGTCTATAGTGGCTCTGTTGCTTGACATCCCTGCGCTTTCATTTCCTCTTTGTACACTGAAAGAAATGAGAGTGACTGCCTCATGGGGGCTATTTTAAGGATTTAATTGGTAGAGAGCAGGTAGCATTTAGTATAGTGGTTGGTGCATTTTAAACAGGCTGCACGGGCTTACTGTGATTACAGTGTTATTAATAATCTAAATCTCTCAACTTTGAGGGCAGAGACCAGCAAACTTGACCCACCGACTAATCACACCCCACAGTCAGCTTCTGTAGAACCTGAGAGCAAGGCCCTACTCTGCATTTTTAAATGGTTGGGACACAATCGAAGGAGTACTCACGCATGACACATGACCATTTGGTAAAAATGCCAAGTTTATTGTCCGTGATAAGGGTCTATTAGTGCTCACATAGTTTTGCTCATTTACACACACATCCACACACATATGTGTCCATGCCTGATGTGATGAGTCACAGAACTCAGAGGTAGCAACAAAAGCAGGTGCATAAAGCCCCCAAATATTTCCCATCTAGTCCTTTGAGGAGGGGGTCTTGTGACCCCAGTACAAAAGGTTTTCAGCAGCCCCATGACTTGCTCCACCATCATTTCCACAGGCGAGAAGAAAATCAAAATGATTTTTAAAAGTCTTGAACACGAGTGCACTTCAGGCTCTTGAAAGGGAAGGATTCTGGGTCTTCCCAAGTATTTGGGAATAGCTTTCAAAACACTGTCACCTTTTTTTGTGTGTGGGGGTGATGACAACGTACCTAACATCAGCTCTCATTCTAATGCACAGAGATAGGGGCACAGAGCGCTGTGCGGGTGCCAACCCAAACACACGCCCGCCCGCAAAGGCTGTCTCGAGTGGGGCTGCACGAAAACACAGCCAGAGAGGGAAGTGTATTTTCTATGGACGGGTGCCAAGCAGATCTTGGCTGTCATATCTTGTCAAGATACATAAACGCCAAGTAAAAAGTTCAGTCAATCATTGAGATTCTTTATCTATTTGATGACAAAACCCTAGCTATTCGGAAACACCTGGCTAATCGACTATTTCTTTGCTTTTTATCTGGATTTGGTGTTCCGTCTGTTTTGGTTCATGAAAGCAGCCAGATATTAACTACTAATATGAAAAAGAAAAAAAATCCTTTAGGCTCTCCTAGACAAACTTTCTGGTTCTGCTCCTTTCTTTTTAGTGTGTGAGTTTTCCCCGTCTTGTCACCTCTCACCGCCCTTCCTCGCCTCCTTCCCCTTAACTTGATTTTGGCCTCGACTATTTCTTCCACCATAACCTTTCCTGTCCGAACTTTCCAAGAGTATCATCATCTCCTCAATCCCATCAAGAAGAAAATGGTTTGTTTTCTAATATTTGAAACTCTCAACTAAAATCCAGCGTTCAGCCCTCCAGTGGCAAGAACCACTGCTTCCATCCTAGGGGGCAGTTTCATGTAAAGTTCTGTGTCAGAATTGCAGGGAAAGGTCACAGAGAAACAGCTTTTGGTACATCTATCCATGATTTTCCTATTGCTTTCAACTGAGTTTTAACAGGCGGCTCAGTGTTAGAATTGCATATAAAGTCCCTATGACAGAACACAGGTGTCTCTGAAGCACTTCTTCTGTGACTCGGGCTCTTTCTGTAGCTATGGTTATGGTCCACACTGGTCCACAGGCTTCTGTCGTAGTAACATAATCCTTGCCAAGACAAACGTAGGCCTCTCTCCCTGCTCCCCTAAATTTTTGATGGATGCTTTGCCTTTATGAAGTCTTGCTGGGCACTCAGCGGTTAGCGCATGGGGCTCTTGTCAAAATCTCTTTTGCAAATTCCCAGGGAGCGGCTTTCCTTTCCAAACATCGCTGTGAGGTTAGCTGGAGACACAGATCCTATAAACAGGAACAGCAGCTGCAAAACTGTGAATTTTATTGTCTGTAGCTCTAAGTAGCTGACTGCATATTTCTTTTTTAAAGGAAGAGCTTCTGAAAGAGAAGGGAGATTCTCTAGTTTTTAAGTAATTGCTGGGTGCTAGGTGGAGAACAGTGAGCTGTGTATTGTACAGATCTCTTGCTCTTTTACTTAAAGATCACTATCAAATATCATTTTCTGGAAAGGCATTGTATTTGATGTGGAAAAATACTTGGGTTCTAGATTGATCAGAGTTCATTCAGTACCTGCTAGATCTTAAAAATAGTAAATAGAAAAAAGTCTCAGAAAAGCCTAAGATGCGATGAGGAAATAGCAACCACCACAGCCAAATGACAGATAAACCAAGAGCACATCATTCATCATTACAAATAACACTTCAAAAAGGGTTGGGGGCTGTCACATTTCCTTAATATTTTAGGAAATACTGGTTTATGTTCTCAGTGGTAAAATGTTATGGTATAGATATAAAGTATCCCTCTAAAAGATCTATGTATTGAGGGCTAAGCCCCCAGCTGGTAGATCTCATGGTTAGAAAGTAATGAGATTGAAGAGGCTTTAATTTAATCATTGGGTAAATCCCTAGGCGGTGGCGGCTGAGGGCGTCGTTGAGAGGTGATGGGAGGTACGAAGAGGGGCCTCATGGGAGGAAGCAGGTCACTGTGGCATACCTTTGAAGGTGTCTTGCCCCTGGCCCTTTGCTTTCTGGTTGTCATCCCCTGAGCGGTATTCCTCTGTTGTGGCTCTCATCCACCATCCTTTCCACTTGCTAGGGACCAGCAATGGAGCCAGCTGACGGGCAGGCAGGGCCCGAAAACCTCTGAAACAAACCAAGCCAAATACAATTCTCCTTCTTTACACTCCTTATCCCAGGTTTTCCCCCACAGCAGTGAAAAATCTAAAGGAAACTGAGACCAAATCTAGGACCCCGAACATAGGCAAACACTCTAAATACTGAGCTGTAAATACTCTAAGACCTGGAAGTGGCTTCTAAGTAGATGAAGACTAATTTTCAACAAGGACCTTACAGCCTTTATACACATGTGCTCAGGTCTGTGACATTTCTACGTCTCTCATCTGTGTTGAGGGAAAAAATGAGGATAAAGAAGTGGAGCCAAGATCGTTGAAGTTCTTAACACCAGAGTGTCTGTTCGTTCATCCCTGACTCTCAGGAGGGAAATGGACTGACGAGATCACACTCCTTTCCTTTCTGCTGTGCAACAGACCCTCCCTTCCTCAGTTGCCTCACCAGGAGGCCTCAGAAGCAATTCTCTTCCTTTCTGAAACTTCCACCATAACAGAAATACCTACAAGTTCATTTTTCCCCCCAGCAACATGCAAAGCCCTACACATCTCAGAAGACTCCATTAAGCTTCCTACTCCCCTCAGAGAAGCCCAGAAGTTTCCCTGGAAGACCGACAAAGTCGTGTTATCCAGTCCACTTCTCCAGAAGGCCTCAGTCTCTGGCCTGTGCCAACCATGTCTTTCTACGCCATTCTCACTCGCCTTTGCTGGGTAATCACACAGACCCCAGCTCGCCTTGCCACAGGGCTATCTGGAGAAAGCCTTCCACCAGGTCTACACAGTTCACTCCGGTCAGTTAGGTCCAACCCTTCCCTGACCTCCCAAAGGGGGCAACAGAGTGACTCTGTTAAGAGTCACCGCCCTAGTCTCTCAAGAAGCCTTGAACCTGGGATTGTCATGAGATGCAAGAGTTATCCTATATTTGGGGGTAATGACTTGAAGATGCCAAGCTATTGACTGAAGGAAGGATAACAAGCCAAAGGATGCAAAGGAAACTCCCACTGTAAGAGCTTCCACAAAGGGAATGGCCCTGCCCCACAGCATTTTAATTTTGTTCAAGGAGACCCTTGGTGAATTTTTGACCTAACAGTAGGAGAAAACCTCGGCTGTCTTTACAAAAAGAAAAGGAAATTCACAGTGTGTATGTCTGTGTGTATGTCTGCGTATGTGTGTGGTGTGTATGATAGTGGCATACACGGAATAAGTAGGTATTAATAGCAGCATTAGCTATACAGTGGCAGTAATGCTGGAATTTGACCTTGTATGTGATAGATCAGTGACCCTGATTGATAAGAGCCAAAATTTATCAAATATTTCATAAAGGCTACTAATGTGCCCCACATGCAAATGTTCTCTATCTGTAAACTCGGAATCATTCTAAAGTAGTTGCCTCTACCATTCAGCCAAAGTCTTCAAAGGAGAAGTCCTAGCCACAGAGCAATTACCAAAACTCAAGGGCCATTCACCGATAACATACTGCTGACAAAGTTCCAAATTTATGTGACTGAAGAAGTCAGCCTAGTGCCATCAGTGCTGTAAAGAAACAAATAAATACCCAGAAATATTTAAATTTATGGTGTGAAAGCAGAAGACAATCTCTATATGATAGAATAGAGGAAAATCGAAGAGACTAATTGGTACCAAAAATAGACCTTAAAGGATTTACAGACCCAATTAGCAAATTGGATCTTGGTTGGCAGTTCTGTTTCTAGTATAACGAGGTATTTATTTAACCACCTTCAAAGATCTTTGCACTTAAAAAACAGTAATTTTCTTTAAATTACTAATGACCCTTCAAAGAAATAAAAGGACAATCTCTACCTTTCTTCAGCTGCTGGTGGGACCATCTCACTATTTGGCTAACCACAAATAAATCCTAGTGCCAACCCCTTAAACCTGTGGGCATCCTTTTGCCCACTGTCCCATGTGCTTGCAGTGTAATCAGAGGTAGGGTTTCTGTTGTAAGAAACCGCCTCTGTGAGAACGGTACAGTGAGGTACCACAGCAAACACAGGCGTTGCCTGGGTTTGGGGTGGTGGGAGTGGGAAGGTTAGTCTGAGATCAAGGCTTCTTGGAAGAAGTATAAGAAATCTAAGCCAATTATTGTGGGATATTTGTACACTGTGCAATAATGTATTGCTGTGATTGATGTAATAAAAAGCTGAACAGCCAATGGCTAGGCAGGAGATACAGGCGGGACTTCAGGGCAGACAGGAAGTTGGAAACGAATCTAGGCATGCAGGAGACACCAGAGGAGAAGGAGAAGAATTGGGAGGTACAAGATGGAAGAGAGTTAAAAAGTCATGATATAAAACATAGATGAATATAAATGGGTATATTTAAGTTGTAAGAGCTAATGGGACAAGCCTAAGCTATAGGACAAACTTTCATAATTAATGTTAAGTCTCCATGTCGTTTCTTTGTGAGCTGGCAGACAAAAGAAAAATCTGTCTACAGTCAATGGGAGGAGGGTCCTGGGAATTGCTGGAAGGAGGCAGGGAAGGCTGAGAAGCAGGAGGAATAGCAAGATGGAGAACCCTGAAAACTACCTTCCACCTCTACTCTTCATTGCATTTACAATGTGGAGGACTGTATTGTATTCTTGGATGAGCTATGCATGTTGATGCATATGGGGACAGTTTGCCTCTGTGTGGCTGGTGTTTCAGTCTCCTAGTTGCTTCTATTTTGTTTCTTCTTTTCGTCATTGATATTTAAATTCTTTCAATTCCTGTTTCTCTTTTGCTATGGCAACACTGCTGCTTCTCATCACGACGAGTGGTAAATAGTTTTGCTACTCTCTTCCTTACCTATACATGTGAGAAACACCGTGGGGCAGCATGCTAAGAAATGGACAGAGTGTACCTGGAATATCCCAGGGTTCCGGAGCGAGGGCTCCTAAGTGAATAGGGAGCCAGGGGACCCAAAGAAGTCCGTAGCTTCTTCTGTTCTTTTCTTGTGTGAAGGAAACTTGGGCTCTAAATACAGGCAGAACAGCCTGCCCACATGGGACTTCATGAAAGCAAGAGGCAGTCTCTTGTGGTTTTCTACTGCGTGGATACCGAAGTGCAGTTTTGGTATCATGAAAAGATTGGTGAGAAATCAGAGTTCTTCAGCTCCAGCTGCTACTTCTGAACTGGGAAATTCCATAACTGGGGAACTAGAGCTGCACTGTTTTGTTTTTTTAACGTGTCACTGTCAGGTGGTTCTCATGTATAACCTGAGTAAGGTTAGAGAAGCCACAGTCTGGTTCTAACACGAGTCACATAACAAAGGATGAGAACTGACAGTTCTTATTACTCGATCAAGCCACTTGCTGCATTTGAGTAAACAGACCCCTGTGAACATCCTCGTGATAAAAACGTGTTGGTCCTATTTCATGAATGGCACCTGATCCCCAGTTAGTACCTTGGCTGTCGGGAAACGAAGCTGCCAGGACTGAACCTGATCAAGAAACCCAGGCTGTGACAATCCAGATGCTAAAGTCAGGTTTATGGTTGCAATTAAATTGATATGTGAGCTTCATTGGTGAAGTTTGGAAATCATGTCACCGAAGTTTATAAATATTTCATGATCAATTGTGCAGCCACAGCTGCAGTTTCCAAACGGTAGAGCTTGGAAGGAAAGTTGCCCTCGTTTGTTTTCAGAATTCTGTTGGCCTAACTGAACCCAGGCTGTGTGTATGTGATTGTGACGACGACAGAGTGGCCTTCTTTGACACAGTACAGAAATGTAACCCTAATTGATTTATTTCAGCTTGGTTTCTTTTCTTTGTTCATTGAATTCTGTGCAGGAGCTCCAATTGTGTGTGTGTGTGTGTGTGTGTGTGTGTGTGTGTGTGTGTGTACATGCATGTGTGCACAAACACATTTGGGTAAATTTGTGCCCAGGGCTCATGTGATGTTAAGACAACCTCAGGTGTCCATCCTCCCAACCTTGACAGAGTCGTGGTCTCTTCTCCTTGGTGTCTTGTTGTTCACCACTGTGAAGGGCGGCTGACTTGTGATCTTCTGGGGGGGATCCCCTATCTCCACCTCCCTTCTTGCTGTATGAACCCTGGGATTAAAGTCCTACACTTACCATGCCCAGATCTTTATGGGTTCTGAAGACTCGACTCAACTCCTCACATTTGCTTGGCAAGGACTTTATCCATTGAGCCATCTGCATGTTCCCAGAATTTTTTTAATGGCCTAAAAATGTTAATTGTTTTATACAGAGTTGAGTGGTAAGTTAATACTCCCACTCTGGGCTCATTAATAAAATGTGATCATCCATTTTTTTCTCTTAAAATTGTTGCATGACATATATTTACTTGTCCTAATTAAAGGGAGCTAAAAATAATCATTGTTTTAAGAATTTGGGGGCATGCCTAGCGCTTTCTTGGAGATCAGCAAAACTGGATCTGCGAACTAGTTTTCTAAGAATATTATAACTCGGTAGGGACAACCTTGAATGTTAGGTGAGACCGAGAATCGAGGTTTTTTTTTTTTTTTTTTTTTTTTTTTCGGGTCTCTGCTATGAGTCTTTTGCATTACAAACCTGGTCCCACCCATATTTCTTCTCAAAGACCTTGGCGGGGGAAACCCCAGCTGACCCAGTTTGCCCCCTGTTGCTGTGATAAAACGCTGGAAGCAACATGGAGCAAGGAAGGGCTTTCCTGGCTTATTGGTTCCAGTCCGTTATTTAGGGGAGCAAGGCGGGACTTCAGGGCGGGAACTGCAGCAGGGACTACTGGGGAAATCTATTTCCTGGCTTGCTTCCAGGCTCACGTTCAGTTACCTGCCCAGGGATGGTACCACCCGTAGTAGGCTAGGCCCTCATCCATTGATCAACATTCAAAAACAATAAAGGCCCCAGACACGCCCACAGGCCATCTAATGGGGACAATTATTCAACTTACATTCCCTCTTTCTAGGTGTGTCAGGTTGACAACAAAACCAACCCAGACCTACACTAATGAATGAATGTTTATAAACTCATTTCATTTTTTATACAGCCGTTCCTTAAAATTTTATGCGC